CCTTGTGTCTGATACTAGCCTAGAAATTCCTCCTCAGAGGAATTCCTCACATAGCACATGCAATGATACTGAATGCAGAAAGTCCACAGGCCGGTGGATGAAAAGTCTTGTGGATGCTTGCAGTGGAAGCATCTCAGTGTTGGTGCAGGTCTTCACATGACTCCTCCAGCTCTCTGAGTGTGGCTCCTCAACACGGCTCTACATGGCTTGTCAACAGGAGGGTGAAAACAGTGAGAGAAGAGAGAGAAATGACCACCCCTTCTGACGAAAGAATGAAGAGAGAGGAAGTTCCCAGAATCCTCATCAGAAGGCCACTCCCACAAGAAGGCTTCATCAGACTAGGACCTGATTGACGGGCTATTCTCCACCCCTCTACTTATTTATCAAGGTGACATGAAATCATGTAACTATCACACCTTCCCATGTCATGTGTTTCTCAAAAGTTGAACTAGGAACTCAGGAAGCAAAGATTGAAAGTAATCAAACATCTCACATGAGAGGTAAAGATGCTCAAATGTCTGTTTGGAGGTAGTTCACAGGTCCCCCTGAAGTGTTGGCAAATGGTTTGATTCTTCCCAGAATCCCATTCTCTCTATTTGCTTGACTTTGGGGAATGGCAGGGAGACAAAAAATCTTCATAAAACCGTGTTCAACAGGATGATCCTTGTTGCTTATACGGGGATGGTGTAATAAAAATAGTAGCATTTTTTTTGTTTAGTATTTGCAAACAATAAACTCACTGCCATCGAGATGGTTCTGATTTATAGTGACCACCCTACAGGACATAATAGAAATGTCCCTGTGGGTTTCCAAGATTGGAAATCTTTAAGTGGATAGAGAGTGTCAGCAAATTCTGGCGATTTCGAACTGCTGATCTTGTATGAAGCAGCCCATCATGCAACCCACTGCACCACCTGGTATCCTTGTTCACTAATTAGTATCTTAATAATAAAGCCTTGAGTGTATGCAATGATTTCTACCCATCACACTTAATCTTACACAGAACTCAAAAAAAGCAGAGTGTACTTGGACGGGGAGGTATTCGTGTCACTGCCTCGCAATGTGAGGAAGACTTCAGATGGCAGCTGGTCCTGCCACTGGTCAGGAGGAAAGACTTCTGGTCAATTATCCTTATATCTTTAATCAATGCCTTTCACATCACCATTGGTTTATATAGTGATTCCCTGCCAACGTTTGTATGTGACATCTTCTGCTATCGTCACAACAGTTCTGAGACCTAAACAGGATAACTCTTCCAATTCCTGAGGAAATTGGAACACATAGGTATTTGAGAGTCTGTTTTGAGAGTCCCACTGAGAAAAAAAAAGGAAGACTCCCCAACTCTTCTGTCTTAATGGAGTCAATTTTCATTTCTTTAAAAGGAAGACAGGTGTGATCATCCAGATGTCTTTATCAGCTCAGTCTTCTGTCATAAGAATTGCTCTAAGATTTTTCATTATAAATTACAATTCCCTCACCACACTTGCTTGTGCACCCATTGTGGTCAGTGA